TTTTTTCAGTGTTTAGTTTTGTTGCTGCAAAACCGCCCTGTACATTTTTTGGTTTGTCCTCCACTGCCACTCAGGGTCAACTCCTCCGAGTGCAGAACGAGAAGACGATCCTCAAGTCAAACTTCGATCCCAAAAAGGAAACCAAAATGATAATCCATGGCTTCATTGATACGCCGCTCAGCTCTTGGGTGAAGGTGAGTGTGGCCGCTCCGCCGCCGTGAGGCAACCGTGCCGCCGCCGTGCTGGCGCTGCTACTCGATTGCTTTGGAGCTTTATAGCAAGATGTGCATCACACACTTGACAAGTCAAAACATAGAAGCGTTGCTGGACAGGGCGTCAAGTTTACTTCTAGCGCTTCAGGGAAAAGTACGAAGCCCACTATGTGTCGTGAATAGGGGATCGTCCGGAAAGTACATCCGTTTTTCTCGGATTCTTCCGTTTTCTCGGAAAACAGGAGCTTGGCGCCTGCGAGACGCAGAGTAGGCCACCCCGCAGTACACGCATGCGTTGCAGACCTGATGTTGCCTACCGATCAGGAGCTCTGAGAGATTGCAGAGGCTAAGCCACTTAAGTTCGCAGGCTCGTGGCTCGTAGCGACGAATAACGGACGTACTTTCTTGGATGAAGTTGCACACTCCCAATTACAGTACTTATCTATGCGCGTCGATAATTTTGTAACTGATTTGCAACTATTGTGAGAACGTGTTATTGTGATCATACTTTGAAATAATTACCGCTTTTCTCAACCACCGTCCACAGGAGATGAGAAGAGAGCTGCTCAAGAACTCCGACTGGAACGTGGTGGTCGTGGACTGGGCAGGCGGCTCCCTGCCACTCTACACGCAGGCCACGGCCAACACGCGGCTGGTCGGGCTGGAGGTGGCGTACTTCGTCAACTACTTGCAGGAGCACATGGGCCTGGACCCGGGCAAGGTGCACATGATCGGGCACAGCCTGGGCGCGCACACGGCAGGCTACGCCGGCCAGCGCATCTCGGGGCTGGGCCGCATCACGGGGCTGGACCCCGCGGAGCCCTACTTCCAGGGAATGCCCATGTCGGTGCGCCTCGACACGACCGACGCGCGCTTCGTTGACGTCATCCACACCGACGGCACGTCCATCTTTCTACTTGGTATGGGCCGAAGACAAACCTCTGATGTGCACTCTTACCTGTTAATTTTGCGTCATTTTGTGAATGAGTGATTCTAGGATATTTGAGATCATACTTGTCCAATCGAATCCACATGACGGACGAAGTTAAAAATTGCGCGTTTGCTATCTGTCTCCACTCAGGGTACGGCATGTCGCAGCCCTGCGGACACGTCGACTTCTACCCGAACAACGGCAAGGAGCAGCCAGGGTGCTCCGGCACCGACGCGCCTCTGCCACTCACGCTCATCCGCGAGGGCCTGGAGGAGGCCAGTCGCGTGCTGGTGGCGTGCTCGCACGTGCGAGCCATCAAGCTCTTCACCGACTCCATCAACACCCCGTGCCCTTACATCGCCCACAAGTGTGACTCCTACGAACACTTCCTTGAGGTGAGTGCTGCCCACACACCACACCAAAAAAATAGAAAGCCGCAGCAACCAACGTGCCGCTAGCTCAGGGAAAACCACCAAATAAAATAGTCGAGACAACAATAGCCAAGTAGGCAAAACCATGTCCTGAATTCTTAAAACTAGGCGAATGTTGTTTCAACCATTATTTTATGGTTGTCCGTTGGCTAGTCGTCTAGTAATACAATGTTTGTCGAGCTGGTAATAATTACAATTTCTTACATTCGTTGTGTTTTTTTTTAACCATACCGTCTTTTAAAAAGATTAGGGCTTGTGTAAACGACCTGGTGTGTGTCTGTGTGCACTGATAAACCAAGTTTGCAACCGGGAAACACTTGTGAGAGTGCAACTTCCACTTGAGCCTTTGCAAGTTTTCAACTTGGTAGGAGAGATGCGCGACAGCGTTACAGTCCTGGAGTGCTCTCCGCTCCGCAGCGGAGCAGGCTGGTGTGCGGTCTCGCGTCCCGCGGGGGTCCGAGCCGCACCCACCGGACCTGACCTATCCCAAGGACCTGGCCCGACCTATCCCAACACATATAACCGGGGCGGCCGGCTTGCCCGGCACGTCCCTAACCTAACCTTTCCTGGTAGCCACCTGCTGATGATGCACGACATTTGACCGCAGCAGAGGCACGGTTCTGCGAGCGCGAGCCCCAGCCAGACTGGAACTAGTCGACCCCTCTTAATCAGCAGATTCAAAATAAATAAATATCCGATGTCATGGTGGCTTCCTGAAACAAGTTAACCCGACAGTCGCCACCAAACGAACGATGTTGGAAGAAAGTGAATGTGTTATTGAACAGCATTAACTTCTCCCTGTCACCGGAATATAGTTGTACCAGGTGGCTGATTCACGCCGCGCACTTTCGTAGTTATGCTGTACCACATGCACGCGTGCGGGGGAGTTTGCCTATGCTCGCAACGCACGGCTCCTTATGGCCCCGTGCAGGTAGGCAACCCGCACGCACGCGTGCATGCGGCACAGCATAACTACGAAAGTGCGCGGCGCGTGAATCAGTCACCAGGCAGGTTTTACGTGAAAATTTTCCATGGAGCATGTCTTAAAATGACATTTGCAAATTTTAAAATTACGAGCAATACATCGACCCCGTATCGACCATCTACATAGAGTTCATCGACAAGCAAGGAGTGGACCGACGTAAATTTCCAACATATTTTGTAAATTGTTTATTAGGAAAGTACTTCGCAAATTTCCGAGGATATTTTTCTCAGTGATGTGATGAATTCGAGCCATCCAAAATTTATTAATCTTTTCTGCTCGAGTATTTTTCCGTTGCCCATATAGAACCATCACCCTTGGCTGCCTTTGAAGCATGACATTTTCTGTTCGCAGGGGAAATGCTTCAACTGCGTGGGCAACTCCAGCAACTGCGCGCTCATGGGCATGCACGCCACCGAGACGCCCGTCGGGCCTCCAGGGAGCAAATATTACGTCGCCACCGGGAAAGATTCGCCATTCTGCCGTAAGTCATTGTTGTTGTTAAGGCCTGGGAGTTATGATTGGGGCAGCCTACTTTAACGGAACGGGGAACAGGTGTAGGTGATAGACCTGTGGAAAGGGGGGCGCGTGTTTGTACGACCCGCGTTTGTAGGCTTACCACCTGGCCTTTGTAAAGGGTATCTTAACACTTTTTTTGTACGATGACCTACATTTTGTACGACCATATCGGGAACAATTGGTTGTAGCTAAACATTTGTTCATCCTGCTAAGTTGTTTTTATTCACTTTATCTACGTATACGTTGTTTATGGGGATTTAGTCTCGTGAGGCCCATCTCCTCACGTCGAGGCGGTGTGTTTGGGGTAGCTGGCCTGAGATCAGAGGTTCTGAGGCCTCTGATTGGCTAAAAACCTGGCCTTAGTGGGGTCACCTCACCGTACACTCTTAGTTCTTTAAAAAGAATGGTCTCAATATTGCGAAAGAATTGGATTTGAACGTACAAGGGAAATTGTAACATTTTACATATTACAAACGGATTTTCTTTGCACCAGTTTGTGAACAGACGCAGACGCTTCGTATTACAAAGACAAATCCTTCCCAATTCAAAGGATTTGTGTGTATTACAAAGGTTCCAAATTCTGTGTACGTTATAAAGAGCAGTTCTTTGTAAGAAACTTACAGGGGCCTCACGAGACTTAATCTGCTTTAAACCGTCACTGTTTGTTTTCGGAGAAAGGGAGGTGAAAATAAATACAAGTTTTTCATACTTGCCTGTTTATAGTTTCCAGCAGTATATGACCAAGTTTCCTCTTTCATTTGCCTCCTCTTGGTCATGGTCTGTCGCATCTCACACCTACTGTACCCGACTGCTTTTCTGCAGGCCGGCATTACCGCATCACCGTCCACCTGGCACGACCGCCGCGGGCCGAATCCTGGGTCCAAGGCTTCATGAAGGCGACGATCCACAGCGAGAACGGTGTCGCCCGCAACCTGGACCTCACGCCGAGGTGAGTAAACGTTTTGTCACCAAACAGACTCAAGTGCGTCCAACCCGCTGCTGCCGTCACCGGAGCCAGTTTAACTACACAGACAAAAAAAAATCACGGGAAAAAGAAGCTTTATAAAAAAATACCTTCATCAAAGTGTCATGGTCGACCGAGGTACTGGTAGGTAAGGCGTGACTTAATGCTGGCATGAGATGAGCGGAAACGGTCCTGCGTCTATTACATGCATTGAAAATCCAATGGCCGTCGGTTGTTGGTCAGTTTGAAGAAATGTTCAAAGAGCTGTACATTTTCGCGGTGTCCTTTGAGTATCGCCAGCATGGCGCCCGCCGGGTAGGCAATACACCCTGCGTCTCGCGCGGCTACCAGCCTCAGCCGCGAGGCTTTCTCCTTGCTCACAGGCCGTGCGAAACCCTGTCAAAAACAGGTGGCAAGTGCAGTCGAGTCTTTACCTTCCACACGCAAAAAAGTCAGCATTCCTCAGCAGGCACGATCGGGTAAAAGTGCGGAAACAAAACAGGATCGCTTGTCCAGAATGAGGGGAGGGTGGATAGGGGGGGCTGGGCTTCTTACTGAAAGAGATAAAGTGGCCATCTGTTTGAGAAGTTGTTACACATTACATTGCGAATGACTTTGTGCTATGTGCTATTGCTCCACCACGGTATGCTCCTTCTTGCAGCGGGTACGTGCGCCTCGAGCACGGTGAGGCGCGCAGCTTCGTCGTCACGCACCCCATGGACATGGGCCCCGTGCGGCGCGCCGAGCTCTACTGGGAGTACGACATGGACGTGCTTCAGCCACGCTCGCTCTGCTTCTTCTGGTGCAACGACCACCTGTACGTGTCGCACGTACAGGTGCAGAGGCTGGACATGGAGCTGGCGGGGCCCGAGGACGGCGCCCGCGGCAAGAGGAACGTGGAGCCCGCGCCGCAGCTATGCACCGTGGGCTCCAGGGAGTACGCCGACATCGCCTCCCGCTCGTCGGCCACCTTCTATGACAACTGCGGCACCACCAAGGGCAACCGACACTACACGGAGACCAACGAGGACACGTGATGGTGATGAAGTGATTGTGTGTGTGTGTGTGTGTGTGTGTG